CTCAGCCTCCCAAAGTGCTAGGATTACAGGCGTGAGGCACCGCACCCGGCCTGCTATGTTTTATTCTATTCCTACATCTAAGAAGAACATTAATATAATATTTGTAAAACCACACAAATCTACATATGATCATGAAATAATCATGCAAATGATTGACAAGTAAAATGAAAAGTTCCTTGAATTAAATATGTGCATATATGGCTGTCTTGTAGTTGCATGAGACATAAAATGTTGAGTGAATGGCTTCATGAAAGTTAGCATTTTAACTGTTAAATGTTGCTTAAGGAGTAGGAAACATACAATTATATGCAACTAGGTGTTAGCTAAACATGAAACATGAAAAAGCAGTCCTTTAAATAGGTATAGCTGCATTCCTAATTCATCATCGCTATGTGTGTAAATTACTGTTGTGTGGGTTTACATAAGTGACTGAAGGGGAGGTTCTATTATTAGGGAACAACTCACGGCAAGTATAACAAGAAGCAGCTTCAGAATCAGCTAGGTTCCTAAAATCACATACTATCTGGCCTTTTAATATTTTGTGATTATTGAATCATTTTCTAGAAAATTATGTTGAAATTCATGGGTGGGATTGTAAATGTGAAATTTTTAGAATAAAATGTTTTTCATAAACACAATGAACAATAAAAAAAGTAATATTAGCAAATGCTTTAGAGATGGAAACTGAAAGACTGGCAAACATGATTTTCTTCCTGATGAAAAGACAACAACATATAAATTTCTTTTTAAGAAAAATAAATAAAAACTATCTGCAAAGGGATATGAATGTTCTTTGCAAGTAACCTGAGACTAAAAAACTCCAGAAACATGGATTTTAATTTAAAAACTGAGAGTATCGTATGTATAACAAACTCTGAACTTTAGGTGCACTAAATGCTACAGGTTAAAGCAATAGAATATGATGGCAAAGACTACAGATGCTGTTGTCAGGCTGCCTGTTTTGAATCCCATCTCTGCAATTTATGAGCTAAAGAACCTTGGACAAATTTCTTAATCTTTTGTGCTTTAATCTATAAAATGGAAATAAAAGAGTACTTATTTCATAGGGCTATTTTGAGGAATAAATAAGCAGATATATTTATATTTCGTTTTATTTTACTTTTATGAGACAGGGTCTTACTCTGTTGTCCAGACTAGAGTGTAATAGTGTAATCATGGCTCACTGTAACCTTGACCTCCTGGGCTCAAGTGGTCCTCACACCTCAGCGTTCAAGTAGCTGGGACAACAGACATGTGCCACTTTTCTGGCTAATTTTTTTAATTTTAATTTTTTGTAGAGGCAAAGTCTCACTATGTTGCCCAGGCTAGTATCAAATTCCTGAGCTCAAGAAGTCCTCCTGCCTCAGCCTCCCAAATAGCTGAGATGATAGTCATAAGCCACAGCATCTGGCCAGCAAATATATTTTGAACCACTTAGTGAGTTATAAGCATCAGGTAGAAATATTTGCTGCTGTTACTCTTATTATTTGTCATGTGTCATTTAGATTTAAGAAGAAGTATTGATTACTTCCATGTTCCTTTCCACCTATAGTTTTGAATCTCAATGAAACCACAAATAGAATAAATTGTATTTTAATGAATTCTCTCATCTAATCAGCTATTGGCTAATTTACCATCCATATCATTCACTCAACACTCAAATGGTATGTGAATTTTTAAATGTGTTGGATAATTTTTAATTTCAGAAAAACTCTCGAATTATCAAGTTAAGAAGAAAATGTGATTTGGATTTTAGTAAACTTTAAAACTTTCTTAGTTCTTGTTTTCTTCTACATCTAATTATATATTGAAAGAAAAACAAGATCATTTTCTTTTTGAGTTATTAAACCAATTGAAGAATGGATTAGTCCACAGGAAAAATATTTTTTAAAAAATCTATGATAAAAACTATTTAAGTAAAGAAGAGTATTCACTACAGTCAATATATGTCCCTTCCTTTTCTCTATTTTGTCTCTAACTGGATTGTTTTTCGGGTTCAGAATTTTACCTGTCTATATCTATGTATATCTCTATAAAAATGCTATTACTGACCTGGTACAGTGGCTCATGCCTGTAATCCCAGCAGTTTGGGAGGCTGAGGCAGGTGGATCATCTGAGGTTGGGAGTTCGAAACCAGCCTGCTTAACATGGTGAAACACCGCCTCTACTAAAAATGCAAAATCAACTGGGCATTAGGGTGTGTGCCTACAATTACAGCTACTTGGGAGGCTGAGGCAGGAGAATCACTGGAACCCAAAGTGGGAGGTTGTGATGAGCCAAGATTGTGCTATTGCACTTAAGACTGGGCAACAAGAGCGAAACTTCGTCTCAAAAAAAATGATCATAAAAGGCATAAATTCGTCATTAAATGGAGCTTGCTAAAAGGATCCCATATGGTGAACATGCAATTAAATTTATGATAACATCAATAAAAAATTAGCATCTTCTAGAACAGAATTCATATTTAAGGTCTTTTAAAAATATTAAATGAAACAATTTGATCTTGAACACTTTCCTAAGTTTTTCAATTCCTTAATTGTAAAAAGGCAATCCAATACCATTTTATCTCAGTGGTTTTTGCTAAGGACTAATAAACGACTTGAAACTTTTGTGTTATGTAAAAACTAATTCAGGAAAGTAGCTATGCTCTTTTTTTAAATTAGAAAAGCAGTAATTTCATAATAAACAAGTGCCAGTTATAGTCAGAAGAAATAACACCTTGACAAAAGAAAGAGTTGGAAGAATTGTAAGGTGTTATATGTCCTTGTATGTTGCTAAACGCTGGCTCTATGGGTAAGGCCCACGGCTTCAACTGATTGCAGTCTACAATAGGTTTAATACTGATATCAGTTTAGAGCCTGTGTGTGTGCTCCCAGTCTAGGATTTCCTAATTTTTCTCATGAGAGGAATCTCTTTTAATTTAAAAGAATTATTTTCTGCAGGATTCCTCTTCCTCATTTAACACTGCTTACATGTTTGCCCTATATCAGTTAAAAAACACATGGCCCACAGCCTTTATGAACTCAGTATCAACTTAAAATGAATACGTTACTAATTACTATAGAGGCTTAATGTATTTTTAAAAGAGGATTTATACAAATATGTGTGTTTTTAGTCTATACATAATATTTAGATTTACCAACCCCTTAGAAAGGAATCCTAGTATGTCTTAAACTAGGAATTGCTGACGTTGCTCATGTATTAAAGTCACTTCCTAGTTGGAAAATTCTATGACTTGGTTATTTTCTTCCCAAACTATTCTATCTTTAAATAAGCTTTGTGCCTTTAAGAAGAATTATGATTATAACTCATACTATGTATATCTATTTAAATGAACAATTAATGAAAATTGTTACCAATTATTAAAAAAAAAAAGACGAAGAATACTATTTTGCGGAGGCAGGGCAAATCCTCTGATGTGTCATGGTGGAGTCATTCTCGAAATCTAATGGCTAGAAAATTGAGTAAACATAGAACCAATAAATAAAAGATTTCTTCACATCATATAAAATCAGCCCACAGAAGAGCACATTGCTGTGGAAAATTTTGAGACAAGCACAAGGATTTTTTTCACAGTGATGATATCTCATGCTGGCAGGCATCAGTTACAAAGTGAAAAAATTCCTCTTCACATATCAATACCACAGAGGTGACTGTTGTCAATTATTGTCAGCATGACCCCATTCTCCCCATCGCATCCCTACCATCTTTCTTTTCAGCATAAAACACATTATATTTAAAGAAACAAGACATTAATCAGGATTAAAATCTCTTGCTCTCACTCTTTGCAAGAAAATGCTCCCAGTTGACACTCCATTCATTTGAATTCTGCTTTCATTCCTCAACCACTGGGACTATTTTTTTTTCCAGATTCAATTTGTAGGACCAAAGCCATTATGTAACCATAAAAGTCACTTTTTCCCATTCTAATTTATGAAAGTTGGGATCCCTACCAAAGCTATAACCCATTTCTAATATCATCTTCCTTGGTTTCATTTCTTCTTTTCCTAAAAAGCAATTAAGTGAGAAGTCACGCAGTGCCTGCTTTCTTGATAGATTAGGAAGCTAGACTTAGGAATCCAGCCTACCTCCATCTATCTTACTGTTCACTGATTCATTTAACTCACAAATATTGACCAACTACCAAGTACCACCATCCTAAGCATCAACATTTGCATATAATGGTACGTATTTTTAGTGAGCACTAACTCTGTACTAGGCGCTGTACTAAGCACTTTCATTATTTTCCTGTGAGTTGGATACTATTATTATTCCCATTTTACATATGAGGAAATTGAGACAGATTAAGTAACTTGTCCAGGAATTCACAGGAAGACAGTTTAAATCTTAACCCCTGAAAAAATGATGAAGTATTTGTTACTAACAGGAGCGCTGTGGACATTAAAGGGCCTTAGGGTAAGGGAGAAAAAAGCCAGAAACAAAAAAGAGGAATGGCAATAGTAATTTTTTAAAAAGTAGAAATAGAAAGGTAAGGAGTTAATATCCATTAGATTCCATTTTCTATGCAAATATATACTACTTACATTTAAATGAGTACTGTAGAATTGACTCACAGTTCTTAGGTCCTACAGGGGAAGGCAGTAAGAATTTACTTACCATCCAATAGATACCATTTTCTATTCAAGTATGTACTATTCCCATTCAAATGAGTACTGCTGAATTGATTCATAGTTCTTAGGTCCTACAGGGGAATGCAGTAAAAAGATAGACAATTTACACAGTACAGAGCTGAACATAGGACTTAAAAACAAAAACAGTTAAGTAATACAAAGTCGCTTTCCAGGTGTAAAGTACCAGGCCTAGACTTCTGTGAGGCTAGGAGAAGATAAATGACAGAAGCTGTAAGAGATCAGAATAAAAAGGGATCCATAAGCCCAAGAAGCCTAGGCCCTTGAGGAGAACCATGAATTTGAGCAGGATGTGACTAATTCTGTTAAAAAGTGGCCATTCCCTCAAAGTATGACTCCATCAGCCTAGGCATGAAAGTGGGAGTGAGCAAAGGCTTAGAGAGTTTTCCAGCCTTGCTGGGATCAGGCAAGTTGCGTAAGGAAGTAGTGGGAGCTGTGGCAGGCCTTGTCCAAAACGTAATGGGAAGTCATCGAAAGGTTTTGTACAAAGGAATGACAGGATGAAGACACTATTTAGGAGGAAGTTATATCAAAAGCAGCAACCTGATAGATTGCAAATACAACAGAAGAAAACAAAAATAACAGGGATTTTCTTCACAAGGACTCAACTTTGAGGTGGTAAATGCTTGAGCCACATGAGAAGCAGGGGTCTCAGAAGGAAGGCAGAGATGGGAAAGGCATTTCTGGGTGGTGGCGTTTAAATGCAAGGAGGGCGCTTGAATCACTGACAGACTTCAAGTATGGGAGTTTTCGTGGCTGAGGTTAGTAAGTCACAAACACAGCTCTCTAAAAGCACGTACTGGGAACGCCAGCCTCAGCTGAAAGCCTGATTCAAGTTATGTCTGTCACTCTGAGCAACCAAAACCACCCACTACAGGGCAGGTGACCCCACAAAGCAAACCCACCCGTCTAGTCCATGCTCCCCACCTCCGAGAAGGAGGTGGAAAAGTTTGGGGAGTAGTCCCAGGCCAATCAGAAGGACATTTTTTCATTCCTCAGCCACTACACTCAAGTGCTCCAAAAAGGGAGGATGACTTCCGGACGGTCCTCCTGTCACTCCTCCTCGGGCCAATTATGAAACTCTGGGCACTCTTGACCTCACCCCGTTAGGGCCCGGGAGGGGCTCCAGAGAACAGTATAAAGTTCGCAGCACCGGACAGTTGAGTTCACTTGCCTGATAGTTCCAGTGTCAGAGGGACACGGCAGTGTGGCCCGCTCCAGGCTCTCCGCCGCTCCAGCCACTGCCACGAGCCCGTCCGCTCCCGCCCCCGGACCAGCCCCAGCGCCCGCGCCCGTCGCCGCCGCCCGCGGGGAGGAGGATGGAGAGGCTCTGTGCTGTCAGGGTCCCCGCGCTGCTCCTCTGCCTGGGTAAGCTCTCCCGCTCCGGCTTCCCGCCTCTCCAAAGAGGAGACAAATAAGGAAGGCTCCTGCGCATTTGTCATTAGACACGTACGGAATTGTCTCCGGGTTCAAGTGTGCTTCATTTAAAATTATGTCTTGTTATGTGAGTCTGTCTTTCCCTATAGTGGGACTGGAGGTGGGGACGGGGGATCCATGTTAAAATGCCTTTTGTTGGTGAATTAATTATTGGCATATATGTTATGCATGAATTAAAATATCTCCTCATCAAGCAAAATAAAAATGGTCGAAAAGTTTGTTTGTTTGTTTTAAGTTGCTTGTCCTAGAAATCTAAAGTCCTGGAACGCACTGTTGACATTTCATGTCTTGCTCCTTTTTGTTGGAGAGTGGAGAATAGAAACTAGACCCAAACATAAGAAATTTTTTTTTGTGGGGGAAAAAGCTCACTCCTCTGTCTTGCACTATAATTTATCTTGGTTTAGCTTTCCTGGGGGAGCTGGTATGCGCCAGTGCCAGCTGGCTGAGCTCCAAACGCAACAGAAATGAAACACTGGTGGAGGGTACCTGGAGCAGAAGGGCGTGGGTAAGTCATGGCGCTCCCCACCGCCCTTCGCCCCTACACCTGCTGCTTCCGTTTTCCCCTGCAGCCTTCCAAGCAGGCTCTGGAGAAAGCACTCTGCACTTGCTGCTAATTGCACTGCACCCCGACGCCTATGATCGCTGAAGGTATTTTAATGCCAGTCTTTCTATTTAAGATGATTTAGTTCTAGTGGGCAAGGAAAATTTTTTCTAAGTAGTCTTTCAGTTTGAAAAAAAATCACTTTTTTCTAATTCCTTAAACTTCAGTTTAAGGAATTTGAAAGAGTATGAATATCTTAATAAGAAAATAAAAGTTACCACCAGTTTCATATTCTCCCTGGAGTTGGAATGAGGCTAATTCCCGAGACACTGTAACTCTACCTGTGAAGGATGTGACTGTTAAATTATTATTTTGACACACTTTATCTCAGCGGTTGAGAGACCTAATGAAATGCATATTATGCATAGTTGAAACTTACAAGTCTAAGTCCAGGAACACAAGTGGAAACAAGATATGTAGTTTCTGCCAAAACTGAGCTACTTGCTAGAGGAGTCTTAGTAAACAATGTGGCTTTGCTGTCTTTGTTTTGAAAAGAATTAAATTAGAAAGGTGACAGTCTTCCTAGAGTTAGAAATTAACCTCGAGGTCAGAATAACTTAGCACTTTTTTTCTCTCACATGTAAGATTGCATCTAAACAATGCACATGTCTGTTCTGGGTGTCTCGTTGAGTATTCTAATTTGAGACAGCAAGAGCCTATGAATAACCTGGTTACTACCTACCAGTGTGTGTGTTGTGTGTGTTTGTGTTGTCATGAAAGTGCTTACCTCCTTTATTGCATTACTTAATTATAGTTCATCTATTTCGTCAGCTGCCAAGCCCATTTCCAAATGAGTTAGGTCAGTTTCTGTTTTCCCAGTTTGTTTGGATATTTCTCTGCCACTAAGAAACTTCCTGTTTGAAGTTCTGTATTATATCTCTAAACTCTATTCAGTTATGCAGGGCCCATAGCCTTATTCTGGCAAGACCACCTGTTATTTCTGAAATTGTATTCTTTTCCCCAAACAAAAGATTTTCTAAAAATACTTTTCCCAAAACCTTTCCTTCAAAAAAAAAAAAAGAGAGAGAGATTTATTTTAAATTTTAGCATACATATTATAACTGCTTTATGTAGAATTTATACATAGTTATGCCTAGGGAATAAAGCTCCAGCCTCCACCCTTAACACGTGCAGATTGAAATTGCTACACACAATCATTTGGTTACTTTTACATTTTATACGTGTTTGATATTGATGTTTTTGTTTTATAAATTGGGGAACTATGACCAAATTTCCCATAGAAAAGGAGCAATAAAATGAGAGTTCACACTAAGCTGCTAGCACGTTTAGCCTACTGAACAATAAGTAAAAGAGTTCAAATACTTGATAGCATTTTTCTAAATAATCTATAATTTTAGAGCAGAATTGTCTTTTTTAATCCTGTGATTTTTCTAAAGACAGGAGGAGAAATTTTTACCTTGAATTCTGCAGTTATGTTCAGGGGCTTTCTATTTAACATCAAACATTATTATTCATGCCCACATGGGTTTTTGAATATGTTCCTGAATGACATCTCCAAGACAATTTAGTCCTACTTCATCAATGAGACAGAAGTAAGCAGAAGAGATATTCTTTTTTGAAAACGTGAGAATCATAAATCTCAATGAAACAATAGGCTTATCTTTGATTATTTCTGTTGACCATGAGAGTTTATGAGTTACCTAAGTCTTGGCACAGCCTGAGATGACAAATCTTGTCAGAAAACATAATGATAGGCCTTTCCTGTCTGGATTTTGACCAAGCACCATCACCACCTTCTGCATGGTCTTGCCATGTGAGCGTCTTGGGTAATTGGGTGTCTGATTCAGCACTAGGACCCAAATCCAGGACTTGAGAAGTGAACTAACAGTTACTAAATGCCCACTGTGTGCCAGCCATGTTGTGTATTAGGTGCTTTAAACATATCCTCTCCTTTATTTCTTAAAATAACTGTGTGAGGTAGATATGATTAGCCCAGTTAAGTCAAGTACCTTACAAGGACTCAGAGATAGTAAATGGCCAGGTCACTCTGTGATAATGAGGAAAGAGCCAGTGAGACTCAGGCTTAGCAGGAGCGTAATAAGCATAGCAGATTCTAAGAGAAGTTCCAGAGGAGTCTGGGGCTGCTCCAGGGCTTAGATCCTCTCATAGGTACAGCACGTGCACAAATGGGCTTTCTGACCCTTTGTGCAAAATCAGGCAAATAAAATAAATAAATAAAACATGACTAGTCTCTTAAGAATAGTCATAGACTATTCTCAGTCAAATAAAACATGACTATTCTCTTAAGCTGTGCTAAAGTATGTTGAATTTTCATTTAGCGTTCATAATTTTTTATCAACACAGTTCCTAAGATATGATTTTCATTACAAAGCAGTCATTGAAGTTAGCTGACTGGGGTCCTGATTTTTATGTTTTCCAAGATTTACATTAAGCAAAGCAATAAATAGGGTAACTTACATGTGTTTTATTTCTTGTATTTCTTTTTTTTTTTGAGACCAAGTTTCGCTCTTGTTGCTTTGGCTGGAGTGCAATGACTGGATCGTGACTCCCTGCAAACTCTGCCTCCCAGGTTCAAGCGATTCTCCTGCCTCAGCCTCCTGAATAGTTGGGATTACAGGCATGCACCACCAGACCCAGCTAATTTTGTATTTTTAGTAGAGACGGGGTTCTCCATGTTGGTCAGGCTGGTCTCCAACTCCCGATCTTAGGTGATCTGCCCGCCTCAGCTTCCCAAAGTGTTGGGATTACAGGAATGAGCCACTGTGCCCAGCCCTATTCCTTGTATTCTTTTTATATTATTGTGAATTCAATATAGCATTGATAAGGGACCAACTTGGAATCTGTAGCCCATTTCTATTAACAGTGAGAATGTAAACATACTTCCTTGTTTTTTTTTGTTGTTGTTGTTCATTTGTTTTTTACTCATAATCACTTTGGAAAAACTGAGTTTGAATGTTTTCTCTCCATTTTTGCAAAAGAATCTCCCATTTCCTTGTTAATGGTCACCTGAAAGATGCAAATGCCAAGTAAGAAATCCTCTTTAAGGAGACTGTAAATTAAGGTGGGGTTTCCTCATCTGTCAATCTTTACTTTGAATGTAGGCCTATTCAAATTGTCTAATTAATATGGCTGTAACTGCTGCTGGGAACATTCCATTGGGAGACAATGAGAACGCTTCCCAGTGGTGTAATAGGAGAGATCCTCAGGGAGGAGCAGTCTGACAGCCATTGCCTTGACATGGCAATTTTGGAACCTTTGAAAAAATGAAGTAATGCAACATACTCAGCGTCCTCTGGAGATGCAGTTTACGTAAGACTAGGTGTTTAGTTATAGGGCACATAAGTGTTGAGTGGCCTTCTAGGTTAAAGTAATGATTTAATTTGCCAGGAAACTGTTTATGATACTCAGGATGATTTGATGAGTGTCCAGAAAAAGAGGATTTTTTGATATATCTCATAATACTCTTAATATATAGGTTTATCCTCCCTCTTCTTTTAAAAAAATTTCAGTAGCATTTGGGGTACATGTGGTTTTTTTGGCATATGGATGAATTATATAGCGGTGAATAGATTTTAGTGCACCTATGACTTGAGTAGTGTACATTGTACCTAATGTGTAGTTTTTCTTTTATCCCTAGCCCACCTCCCACTCTTCCCCTTCTAAGTCCCTAAAGTCCATTATATCACTCTGTATGCCTTTGTGTACTCGTAGTTTAGCTCCCACTTATAATGGTTTTTGGTTTTCCACCCCTGTGTTCCTTGATTTGGAATAATGGCCTCTAGCTCCATCCAATTTGCTGCAAAAGACACTATTTTGTTCTTTTTAATGGCTGAGTAGTATTCCACGAACATATGGATGTATTCCATGGAGATATATCCATGTATATATATATATAACCTTACTATTGTATGTAGTTTTAATGGATAAAATGATTCTATGAAATTATAGAAAGCACTTTTAAAATTAGAGCAGTCATTATCAAAATGACACATATATGCATACATATAACATAATATTCAGAAAGAAAAATGTTAAATCTTAGTATCTTAGGTTAAAAATTCTCTATTTTAGATTTGAGGCATGAAAGTGATTAATACATGCACATGCACACACACACTTACCTTTATATATGTAAATTTTATAGTTTTAAATTGAGGCATAGTGTATAGTGTATAAAACATAGATTTCATGCCTCAGTTGTTTTTTTTTTAATTTCATACTTTCATCAAGAGCGATTTCTCTCTGATCCTTACTATCTCTGAGTCCTCGTAAGGTACTCATCTGCAAAAGGGAGGTTATAATATCTGTCTTGTCAGGTTATTGTATGTAGTTTTAATGGATAAAATGA